TTTCCGGTTCGCTCAATATAAGCAAACCTTTCATTCCCCAAGTCTCTCCCCAAGTATTCATTATCTTCCAATAACTGAGCAATAAGGTGAGGATGAAGAGCTAGACCGGCGAGGACGCGCGTTACCGTGTCCCGTCTGGTGCAGTGTTGTATCCGACGATGACCACCTCGTGGTCAGTTTTCTTCTGATCACAAGCGGAAACTGACAGAATAGTGGTGAGAGTAAATGATGCATTGACTCACAAGTTGTGAGACAAGTCAGCGGGCTACCTTTTATGATACCTGCTTTGTAGTTCTCAAATGCCGGAGCCGCATATAAAGTGACAGCCACAGGTCCCCTCGCCACGGCCGTTAACATCGCCTCCTCATTCGCCGCCGGTATGGAGGCAAGATGGCCAATGTCGCCTGGCTGAAATGATTATCACAAGTACAATTATCTGAATAGGCTGGTAGGGGAGTCACTCTAATGCATTGATCTTCAGGGTTCTTAACGACACTCCTCTTGCATGGGTTTTCCTCGAACACATAGGGATAACTGGACTCTTTCACAATGCCTTCCGCTTTCGAGTATGCGTAAGAGTCTCGAGATAGCCCTCCAAGGCAACCTCTACAACAAACAGACATCAGAAAGACGACGGAAATACCATATAATTGCAACTTCTCTCATATATCGAAGAGCTCTCTGATGAGGAATACAATGAATGTTAGAGAACGGATATACTGCTGACGCCTTTAGCTGTAGACCCGTCAACTCGACGGATTTTCGCAAAATGAGAGCGAGAAGTAATCTTGATGGAGGCTTCGATGTTAGCGAATATAAGCGCAGTAGATCTAGGCGCAGTAGGGTCAAATCATGGAACTCACATATTGCCGTACGGCCTACTACAGTCCACCAACTGCTGAACGGAGAAAGGGACGACTCTAGGCTGTGCGAGTTCGATCTTGAAACGACTCTCCATAACGACTGAGGGAGATGAGAGAGGCGTGACGAACAGGCGAGTCCTCTAAGAGGACGCTTGCTAGGGCTCGCTCGGTAACTATATCATGAAGGAAGCAAACTATTCGTATTGCTACCTGCGGCAGTGATCGCGTAACAGCTTCCACACCTCTTTCCTTTAATCGACTGACGTCTTACGGGTGCCAGAGCGCCGGAAGCTTCCCAGTCTACTGATGGAGGATAATCTCCTACGCCCAAGGGATCCTGCGGGACTAAAAAGGAATAGTCGTCTGATACGACTCGTGACCGTAATATCAACCAGTTAGTCTCACCCGTGGGAATGGCTCGGATGTTCGGTGTTTGTTGTTGTGGAGTGAATGCGCACTTTACGATGCTGTTGAAGACTTCTCTCGGTAGATCAGCAAATTCATTGAGACCGACTTCATGCGTCACATTGCCTGCATAACATATAGTATCGAGTTAGCAGAGGCTAACTCAGATTTAGCAGTAGATGCTGGCACACTGCTTACTGTTGGCTCTCATGGCTTCTATCTC